ACCCAGACCAGCGAAATCTGTGTGCAGTTCCTGCGTATATTGTTAGTTAGGTAGTTAAAAAAAATGTTTATAATAATATGTGGGTTTAGTAATTTCTTTTTGTCTTATGTCTCATCATTTGATAAGTACAGGCAGGCCTTCCTAGCACTCATGCAATGCGTTTGGGCATCATGCATAAAATTAACTACTTATCCATACCAGAGCAGGAGAGAGCTCTGTCAGTACAGTGACACAATACAGGCTGAACAGCCAGGTGTGTGTTTATCACCATACACAGACTAATCCAAGCTCCTGTTCTATAAATATGGGACCTTTAAAGTGGTTGGAGTACAGAATTTACCACCAATTCCATCTACAACCAGAATTAAGGATGTATGGAATGTTACCTCCATGGTCCTATGCAGCTTCAGCGTGTGATTTATATGAATAATTTTACTATTATAGTGATATTTCTTCATTGCCATCTCCCAACAGCTCTTAGAGCCTTCCATCCTAATTTCCAGTAGGGCCCTTGGCCTCTAATAGACATACATTTAACTGTATTTTTTTTTTGTGGTATTGGATATTATTTAAAAATTCCTAATATTTGAACTATATTAACACATTTAGACGTCATACTAGTTCTTCATATAATTCTTGTAGAAAACTTCATTAACAAGTTATTTATCTGCATTAATATTTATGGGAAATGTGGTTTTGTTTAATGCTGCTCCACTAAACATTTTGGTTTCTAGGAGCCACATAAGAGTGCTAAGTAAGGGTGGCCTATACTACTTTTACCATTGTCACTCCCATTTCTATCCTCCATCTCAAATGCTATGGATACTCCTAAACGTAAAAAATCAGATTTTCAATCCTCACATCTCTGGTTTGTATAATCAGTGTCTTGATAGAGTTGGCGTGTGAACTTTACATTGAACTTATAAATATGTTTTTTATCTTATAAGTGAGTAATTTTTTGCAGATTACTGTGTAATTTATGTGTATTCTGTTATGGTATTTTGTCAGTGTTGCTCAATTATGCAATTTACTTCAAGCTACAGAAGCTATTAATTACTTGTTTTAGTTGAAATGGTACCAGTTCCATGGAGTTTCTTATTCATTCATTTAAAAACAGTCAGCTCCCTATGAATTGAATATCTCTCTGACTTCAGTATTGATGCTTACCATGTTTCACTTATTAGAAATGTGTATTTCTCAACTGAGGGCACGTGGTAGCATAGTTGGTTGAAGCACTGTGCTACAAGCTGGAAGTTCATGGGTTTGATTCCTGATGATGTCATTGGATTTTTCAATCGACCTAATTCTTCCAACCGCACTCAAGCTCTAACAGAAATGAATACCAGGAATCTTCCTGGGGGTAAAGTGTGGCACACTGCATGAAGCTGACAACCTCACTGCCATCTGTGAGCCGATTGTCTAGAAAATGTGGGATCCTTAATGTCTCACAACCCTATGAGCCTCCACAGACTGCTGCAAGGATAGCTCTTCATATCTCAATCTTATGCAAGATTATATTACAGCCTGATACATTATTATGATTAGGCAGAGTTTACCATGTCCTTATAAATGACATCTATAATGTATCTGAAACATAATACGTGTTTCACTCTTATTACTGTCATTAATATTATCTGCTTATTGTGATATTTTCCCTTTAAACAGGCTCTAAAGCTGTGTTTTGTTCTCAGAAATTACAAATTCAACCAATTCAAGATGAAACTAAATAGTTAGAATATGTGGATAAAACAGAAGAACAAACTCATTTCCCACATTAATTACACGAAGATATCTGACAAGAAAGCTGAAAACATTAATTAAAATCATGAAAAGAGCCAAATTACTGAAAATCAACAGCAATTTTATTTGCTTTCTGGTCAGTTATATACTTTTTAAAGCATCAATCAAGTTGCCTTTGAGTAGTTGCTATGCATTTATGTCTCACCTATAATCTTTATACCAACAATATTAGTAGCTTTCTGACGGGAATGAACATGTCTGTGTACTAGAATACCCTTTCTTGGAAAAAAACATACAGTATATCCTGAATTTGCTGTGGCTGTGACTGGTTCTATATCTATGTATATGGATTTATGGAATATACAATAAATGAATGAATGAATGAATGAAAGTTGGTAACATAAAGTAATTTTGTGTTAACTTGTTGTACTGAAGTATCTCCTTCCCTGATCAGATTTGATGAGTTTTAGTGTCAGTTGGCTGGTTACAATATACATGAATGTATGATGAATAGAATGATGTGATTCTTACATAAAGTATTCTTTATAAAGGGCACAGACAATTTTAAAATTATATTCCACTAATAAAGTGCAGAATAGGAGCAAGATACATTTTTAATTGTAATTTTCATTCCGTCAAATAATGTGTATGATTTTCTTATAATCAAATTATGCATGTCCAACACAGTGGTTTGTCTGTTATGTTAGAGTCAAAGCCCCCAGAGTAGGAATATTAAGATTTCTCTTCTCTAGGGTGTGGCATATTGTAGTTAAAGTACCAGAATTTTGGAGGAACATACTGCATCCATCTTCAGAGTGAAAGAATAGGCTGCAAGTGAAAACAAGGACACATATATATGGAATGCAAGAAAGGAAACTGGACTGCAGTTGGGCCACTGGAAGACAGTGGTACCTAAAAGGGCAGGACCAATCATTTGAAGAGAAAAGAAGGCACTGCTCCTCAAATGTTCAATCCTATCACTTAGGGGTGGCTTACTCTTCTACCTTGAAGACAGGGGTTACAGGTTCCTCCAAAATATTGTACCTTTCTGCTAGCACACAGCATCACAGTCAAGAAGTCATTGAGCTTATTGTTATGTGGCTGTTCACCAACAACTAAGAGTGTGCAAGACAATTTAGTAATTAATATTCATTACTTGTTTTCTAAATTGATTTTTCAGTAATAATAAAACTATAGTACTGTACACTGATTTGCAGCTGACTGAGAGCATTTCCTTTTGAAAACCCCTTAGTTAATACTAATACTTGGCAAAGGTAAAGTTATCCCTGTAACAGGCTGTGGAGGCCCATAGGGTTGTGAGAGGTTGAGGCACCTACATCTTTTAGACAGTTGACTCACAGATGGTGGTAAGGTTGTCAGACTTATGCGCCAGCCGCCCTTTACCCTCCAGGAAGTTTCCTGGTACTCATTTCTGTCAGAGGCTGAGTCAACCCCAGGGCCATAGTGTGGCTGGAAGGATTAGGTAACAAACTTTATATTAATTGTGTACCTAATAGTCCAGGGCTTTCTGTGTGCAGTTCTTTGCGTGGCACCTAATTAGTAGTATGGCAATTTCTAGTATGCTTTATAGTGTGCCTTGGTTAAAATTTATGTATGGAATTCATATTATATACTATTGTAGTAATACTAATATTATAGATTTTGAAATCAGTTTTTTTTTTCTTGGTTACATCTGTAATACTGAGTGTAACATATTTTAAAACTGAGTTTTATAAATTGACCTCTGTAATTTTGCAGACTGAAAATTTGATATGGTTGACTGAGCTACTCATTACTGTATGTCTAAGTTGAATTGGTTACCTGCTGATATTAAGGATAACCTGTAAATTGTTTACTGGTCTCCCTGCTAGGAATTGTACCATATCTGCAGATCATGGTACATTATAGTGAACTCTTAGCAAAGTTTCATTTCTCTCCCTTGGTTCTTCAGAATTTATGATTTCTTTGGCACCAGTGCACAAACCAGTAGTTGAAAACATCTTTGCTACATTTTTTCAAATCTGATCTGTTAATAATGCATTAAAGGATTTATTTAATATAAATAGTACGTACCATATGAAAACTTAGTGTTACTTTGGTTAGTGTAAGAAAAAAGTGCAAATAAGAACCAGAATGTAAGATTTGAGGCTTTCACGGCGGTGACTATGAAGAAAGCAGTCTTCTGGGATTTGGCACCATGTATATGTGGTGTTAACCGACGTTTCGGTCTCTTCGCTTGCGGATTTCTTATATTTTTCCTTCTACCCTGAAGATATAGGCGATACGCTCCTCCAAAACATCGGTTAACACCACATATACACGGTGCCAAATCCCAGAAGACTGCTTTCTTCAAGAACCAGAATATTTAACATAATTTCTCTGCAACAACAATGCTTGAACAGATAGAGTCATGCTTTATTTCAACAATTATTAACTTAGAAAAGCCAAATTTCAAACAGTAATGAATCAGACATTGTAAAGTGAATGCTATATTTTAAATTAAATTCAGTGAGGCAACAACAGAGACAAATTATGAATGACACTCTGGTGATGGTTTCACATAGCAGACAACCATTTTCCCAGAGTTATATTCATTTGGAGCCCCCATGAATTCTTCATATTCTCTCCCAGTATAATGCACACTGGATGATTTTCATCCATCTGATATATGTCATGTTGATATTTTTAAATATTGAAACAAATTATGTATGAAACATCTTTTATCCTAAGCTATATTTGGGGGTACAGTGGACATCAGACATACAACTGCACCTCCCCCCCCCAAATAAAAAAAAAAGGTGTGAAAATTTATATTGAAAAGAGAAATTGAATCTAGGAAACCAAGAACATAGTTAATACCTGAATATTAAATTCTATTTTATTTGTTTGAATTGTAGTCCCCCCTTTCAGAATATGAATTGCTGGATGTGTATATAGTAACAAATGCCAATTTTGTATCCATACTGACAGTCTTTAAATTTGTAGTTCAGTCATCAGAATTACTTGTGGTCCCTGGCTGTGTATTTTTCAGTCCAAAAATTTGGGGAGATGGAGAAAGAAAATTTAGAAATATAAATTGACTGAGAGAGATTACCGCTAGTGAGAAGTGCATATATTTTATGATGATTAAGTACTTAATGGGGGATCAGTTCCAGGAGGTTAACATTATTATGTGAGAACATTTTGTTTCTTTAAACCAGCGTAAATATTCCGTTTTTGTACTCATTTCTAATTTCTTATACATGTGTTTTCTCATGCAGAGTGCTCGAAGGGGCTGTACCTGTATGAAGGGCGGTGTGAGGTTTCATGTCCTGAGCCATACTTCCCAAGCCGCAATGCGAAGTCACAACTGGTCTGCTCATATTGCCACTACACCTGCAAGGCGTGTTCAGGCCCCAATGACTACCAGTGCATTTCCTGCTATGGTGATGCATCCCTCAAGCATACTACAAAAGCTGAAAGTTATTGCTATCCAAAAGCTATTCTTCCGGCACTGGAAACTAGCAAATGGTTTTATTGGATGTTTATAGCTTTTTGTGCGAATGTGGCAGTCCTTACCATGATAATGATATACTTCATAATGTGTAAATTACTGCAGAACTCTGGCTGTTGTAGTAAACGTCAGCATTACAGGAAAATGAGCAGTGGAGAAAATCTAACAGACAGTTTGAGTAAGGACAGAAATAGTGCTGTATATGATTTGTCTGAAAGTGACAGTGATGGATCTTAACACATTGTGTAAAAAAAGTATTGTGATTGTGTTTTAGACAGGAAGCTGAATACAATTAAAAGCTAAGTCATAGTTTGATATTAGATTTTACAAATTAATTTTCATATCCGGAACCTGACTGTAGTTTTATAATGATGTTCGCTAACTGAAGTGCCATTTTCTCTGAGATATTGCTCTCCATTTTGTTAAAAAGTATTTTTGGAGGCAGTATTTGTGATATTCTTATGTAGGTACATTTTAGTTTAATTCAAGTTAATATATAAAGAAGCAAAAATAAGGATAATCTTTTCAAGATTTCACACTGGGCATGTAAGCAGTGTAAGCAATGTGTGCAAGAAGTTATGTGGAATTGTCAATAGAGAACTTAGCTCTGAAACCAGGTATGTATTGTTGATAGTATATTAACTGAGGGAAGGTGAAGTAATTCTGAAAAATTTTCCATAATTCTTTCAACTTGAAGAATTTTGAACACCAAAATTGTTTCTAATATGCTATTCTCCAATGTGAAAACATTCAAGAATACTGAACATAGAGCTGCACATTCAGAAGACAGCTGAATGGAGAAAACTGTCATCTTTACTCTGCAAATTAAGAATGAAAAGGGTTAAAATCTATGTCATAATTATGCATAATGAAATTATGATTTAATGCTACGAGATCTAAGAAATTTTGTGCATTTCACACTAAGTTTTATGAATCATAGTTTTATTTATGTACAAATAATATTTACAAGTGACACATTTGACTATTTTCATATTTAAAGTCTCCTTACAGTCTGCTTTTTATTCCCATAATTTTAATTCTGTCACCAAAGTCTCGCTTGATAATGCAGATGTATCTACTGGCTTATGACAATATTTTGTGCATAAGAGTTGCAGTGTCTTATGTCATCTTTGAGATGATTAGGTCCTGTGATATGTTTCTGTTAACATAATGTTTTTTTTTTTGTGACAAGACTGCATAATCTCCTGTTTGGATAGTGTAGCCATAATTTTGATTGACTAAATGAACATTTTAATATTTCTAAATAATGTACTAATCTGTAAAGTTGTTTTCATAATATTTGTTCCGATTATTCCAAAATATCATTTCATTCTTATTCCAACCTGTTTTTAGACAATACTAATACATCCAGTATTGTAAGCTGAGAAATGTGATAATTAAACTTCCATTATCATTAGTTATTTTGTGTGTTTTATGTGTTTGTTATAGAAATTTATGTGCTTGTGATGTTCATGTTGACAATTTAATTTGTTGGGAGCGAATATAGAATAAGATAGAAAATAATGCAATAACTTCTACAGGCCAACAAAAAACTGTTCCGTAAGTAAACATAGGTTAACTTAAGTATTGTGTGAACGTAATATGAAACTAGAATCAGAAGTTATTCAATTCAATTTATTTAAACATTCCATTGATCCTTTGTGGTACAATAATGACCAGTAGATGTGGAATTAGTCACAGACAAAACCAGACAAGTTGCATCACATTAACGAGATACGAATATAAATACATCAATAATTCATCTCCACAATACAGTATCTCAAACACTGGTCTAATATCTAAAAGCAAATTATTTATTAGGACATTACATCAATTATTACTTACAAACAATACCCAGACAACAAACAGGTCATAGATGCCTGCACACTTAATACCCAGGACCAAGATGGAACAACTTTTGTACATCGTATGACAGCTATATGTTTAAAATGTTAAAACTAATGTACTGATAGTACTAAGATGTGATGAATATATATGAGCAGATTATGAGTATCATAAAAAAAGTTTTCTTAGTAGGGAGTATAACCCAGGAGTTTAGTTTACTTTATAGTGAAAATATTCATCCAAGGAATAAAACGAATTGGAAAGAAGAAACCTTTTTAGCACTGTATATAGAGAATCATTCAAAAATGTTTCTGTGTATAAGTATCTGGGAACAGCACTAGCAAACAGAATTGAGGTTTTTGATACAATTAAAGCTTCTTATTATTAAGTTTAAGATGTGGCACTATCTTACCTTCTTTCCAGACTGCTGAAGTTTAGAAAATAGAACAGTATTGCTAGTTGATTTGTAGGGGCATGTAAAGTGGTCTCCTTCTTTGAGGGAAGAATGTAGATTAAAAGTTTTTAAAACTAGAGTTCAAGAAAATATTTGGACCTGAAAAGGATGGAGTGGGTTATTTGGAAGAGTAAAAAATTAGAAACCCCCCTGATTTATCCTAAGAAGTCATGATGGACATTTACCTTCAATGGGGGAGGCAATGCATGTGTACAGAATTTTAGTGTGGAAATCTCTTGGTAAATTGCCACTTAGAAGACTGATAAATAGAAGTATAACATTACAATGAATTATGGATAGGTAGGTTACACTGAGGGAGATATATGGAACTGGTCGAGATTAGTGACTAGATGTATTAACAGTGTTGGGTCTTGAGGTTCTGCTACAAGAGAATTAATTAGTTAGTTAACCATTCAGCTAATTATTTAAGAGTTACTTATTTAAATATTGGTTGCAGGAAATAACTGGTAGAGAACATGTACTCAGAATAAAGTAGAGAGGAATGGTAAGATAAAACTTTCAGCCTGAGCACTTAGCTTGCTGGTCAGTGCATAAATGATTCGTCAAAGGAAATACCTGTAGAATTTATATTTTACTTTTAACTTCTGATGGTAGTTCAGTCTCAGGGTTTGAGGTAGATCTCACCATATTCTGTGTCGAACAGAATAATTACAGTACAACTTTTTTCAGTTGTGTATCTTAGTCATTCAGTTCCCTATGACAAATTGAGATAACTATAATTAAGCTGTAAAATTTCCTTTTGTTGTCATTGAACATCATTCACTTGTCTATAAAAACGTATTTTGTTGTACTTGTTTTCATATTTTTACCTTAAAATTGCAAATAATAGGCAGCAACAGAGTTTCATTCATTTACATGTATCACAAATGGTCAGTTTCACCAGTGTTACAGAAAATTTACCTATTTCTGTTTTATTATCCTGTAAAAAAGAACGGGGAATGCTTCAAAATTTATTTTAGCTCACTGATTCAAGAAATTCATGAAGCTTCAGTCTTTGAATGTGGATAATTGAGAAGTTCCTTTATTGGAGACATTTCAAATGTTGTTTAAGTTTCTGAAATTACATTTCATAAAGTATGGAACCAAAACTGAATTGGGTTTTCTCCTGTTGGTTTTGTCAGTCTTCCACTTTACGAAGCTTAATAAATCAGTACCTTTATATGAATGTTGTTTGGCAGCTTTGAATGATTCTGTTTTAAGAGAGATTTTATACTGCCTCATAGGTAGAGGTATTATAGATTCTGTAATATCATTGTGCTATTCTTATAAGTTTCAAGCGTGAAAATAAATTTGCTTATACCTTTCCAGTACCCTTTTAGCATCATACTACATGACTGTGTGTGAAAGAAAGGGCAAATTGTGATATTTGACACCATGGAAGATTTGTAATTTAACAGAAATGAACTTAGTGGAGAATGAAGAAATTATGTAATGAGGTACGTGTGTGTTCCTAAAATAGTGAAATAAATTTTTATAAGGGTCTGAGTATGTAATTTTGATGATGTAAGAAAAAGGTAAAGTTCTTCCTGTACTTAATTAAACATTATGGCATGAAGATGTATGGAGAAGTGCAAAAGGGTCATTCTAGCTGCCTTCTTCATTGCATATCTTGTATGTTTCCATGGTTAAGTCATTACCTCTAAATTTCCATATCTATCAAGCAGTTAAGAGAAAGTAAATTGAAGACACCTGTGACAGAACAATGTGAAACTGAGATTCCAAAAACTTCAATGAAATCCACAGGATTTACTGATGAAGCATGAAGAACAGTGGGAATGATTATGTAGTCATTAGTTTGACTCCATGATTTTGACACTTTTACAAACTTCAAATCATGTGTAGAAAATGACTGTCAGACCTACACATATGGATTTCTTCCATTTTATAGGACAACAGTTGTGTGAATCTGCAATACTTGTTGGGTTTTACACATGTGAAAACTGACAAAGAATAACAGGATAACTTGTCAGATTGTGAGCTAAGCGATTTGTTTTAGACTTATTAGGATAACATACATTACCTTCTTAGCTTCAATAAATTAAATTATTGTGGAGTGGTTGCGAGAAATGCTGCCTTCTAGCCAGAACCAAACTGAATAGCGCATTTTGGACTACATATGTTACATCATTATTGTCAATCCCATGTCATGAATTTTGGGCAAAACTTATTGGCAGAATTTGATGAAAACCGAGGAAATTCACAAAGAACGTTGATATTTAGAATCACAAAACATTGTGGGCATTGAAACAGAGCTTGATTGTGGACACTGATGTTTAAATCTTTATTTTCAGTGTTCATTGTTTCTATTTTTAATATACAGAAGTCAGGATGTCAGTTGGTATACCGATGAGGTACAGTCTGGATGGCCCAGGTTTAATTCCTATCAGTGGAAGATTTTTCTTGTCTCCACAGCGTCCAGACTGACTCTGGGGCCCACCCAACCTAATGTGTACAGGGGAGTAATGCAGCAAGGGCATGAAGGTGATCTACATCTAGTTCCGTGGTGAAGAACAGTGGAACTATTATGTCCACTCCCCTATGTCTTCATGGCATAGTGCTTAACTTAATAAACACAGGGACTCCATTATTTACTTAGTTTTTACTTATTTTTAATCTACATGCTGACATTTGCATATATTTGGTGAAGTGCTATCAGGTAACTCATGCAACATGAATTGGACGAAAAAGAATGCAGTCCTCTGGGATGTAGCACCGTGTAGATCTTGTGTGCACCGACGTTTCGGACGAATGTATCGCCTCTAATCTACGAGCGGATTTTTTTGCCCTGAAAATGGAGATACCTTCCTCCGAAGCGTCGGTTCACACAAGATCATGGCCCCTTCTCCCAGAAGACGACATTCTTCACAGTAACCGCTATGAAAACCACAAATCCTGCATAAATTCGACATTATGCCACTTCTCTTCTGTGATGAAAATTGTAATGTGTATCCAAATGTATGCGTTCGATGCCTCAGGAATATAAGTTTTTCTACGTTCTTCTTGCATTTTATAAAATACAATAAACTCGGCCTATCAGAGAAGTTAAATGTACAAGATTTGTGCCCTACTATCGCAAATTTCACTCAGTTCGCAGGAAAAGCACACAACGCGTAGACCACATGTACCGCGACAAGGTACAAGGCTTACCGATTGTACCTGCTCTCCCTCACGTCGACCAGTGGGGTGGTTTCCATTTAGATATATCTCTTACCATGCTCTCTGCCAAGATAATGTAAAACCTACAGTGTAGATGATACAAACCTGTGTTTAATATGGCAGTGCATCACGTGACTATCTGTTGCTTGGAACTTGTTGATGCACATTGAAAAAGTTGGTAGGTGTCAGGCAGTGATGTGTTTTGTCTTTTTCCCGTTAATAGTTCAGTGTAGTATGAGATAAAGAAGTATTATGCTGTCTAGTGAAGATGTTCTTGTATATGTGTAATTTTAAAAAAAGTTGTGCAACATTTCGGTTTCTTCTTACAATATGACCCGAACAAAATTTGGAAGGCGGTGTAGTGATCAAACAGGTTTCTAAGACTAGGTGCCTAAACGTGAAATCTCATTGTGTCTAAGGTAATTAGTCATATATAACTAATGAAGACTGTAAGGTATTTGTTTGTACAGCTGTTTATGTTAATGGCATTATTTACTCAACCATTTGTACGAAAATATATCCTCTTCATCTGTAGAGATGCGGACTCTAACCTAACTTCAAAGTACTATAAGATTTTTGTTGTATTTTGTGTATGTAGGTTATAGAGAGCTGTTCTGTAGGTTTTATTTGTTATGAAGAATTTATCGTGTTTTTTCAGATGCTTAGGAGATACTATTTTCACCCATTGCAGCGACTGATTGTATCAACCAGATGACCGAGTTACAGCATTTTCAGAAGTTACATAAACTTAAATCTTCACATTGTTTGTTGCCGCCACCTCCAGCTGGTGAATATGAATTTTATGTTTATTCCTAACAATATTTTGTTGTGTATCATAATAGTGTAATTCAGACTAAACAGTATTGTGAATCTGGTTGCTACTAATTTCAAAAGCATAATTTTCCAAGGCATATTTTGACAGGTTGGGTATTTTGTATTATAGGTAATAAATGAATGATTGGAAGTCTCTATTTAATCACTGAGTTAATAATTGGAAAGCTATTTAAAATATAACATGTCTGGTACGACTGTTATGTTTGTTGTAAAACTTTTCGTTTATTTTCTGTAGTTTTTATTTCTTGATCCACACACTTCCACTTTTACATCCAGTAATATCATCTTGTATACGCACTAGCGTGCACGTGCGCATACGAAAAACCAACTTACCACCACATTGCCTGGAACCGTACTGGGACAGCCATGTGGTCAGAATGTACGACATGCGTATATAAGTATTGCCAACATATACACCAGAAACAACATGCGTATATTAGTATTACCAACATTCCCCCGTAATCATAGCATGTAAATTAAATAATAATAACCAAAAATATTATCGTACAATCACATGGGCACATAAATTCAATTTATACAATCAAAAGGTTTCATGCCCAATGCATCTAGCAAATATTCATGCTTCACTTTAGGTAAACTCTTTGTCATTATATCGGCCTTCATAATTTCTGTAGGCACATATTCCAGATCAATCAATCCATTCTGTACTACCTCTCTTACNATGTAAGAACCTAGTGCAGCTTGTCATATATTGCATATATTGTTGTAAAGAAAATTAGGTGTTTATGATTAATTTTTATGTGTGTTTATTGATGATCACTTTTAGATATATATACTTATAATATGTATAATATTATATTTCAGCATGATGTTGCATTAATATCTCAGTTATTCACTCACTTCCTTCCATAATGCAAATGCAACGTTTTATTTTAAAATGTAATTTACAATCACATTTAAAATTCATAAATATCATTAAACGCACATTCTCTGTTTATTTGTTGCAACATGTTTTGACCTCACAAGGCCATCATCATTATCTTATTATCATTATCATTATTATCTTTCCATACTATTATATCATTGTGTTATATATTGTATTATTATTATTATTACTATTATTATTATTACTTATTGTATTGTAAAGTATTTGACTTGTCCTATATCATGTACAATGATCCATGGATATGATATGAAATCAGGCAGCCACTAACTGATCAAAATCACTACACTGTGTGGGCTCACAAGTCAGTATATTTACAAGCTATGTTGCATCCTTTGTAGAAGGCACGCACCTGACCTAGGAAAACTACGTACAAAGGAACACAGTGTCAACACTTCAACACTAAAAGAGCATGAGGAAAGTATGGACGTACATTCTTGAACATGACAGCATGCAGTGTAGCATGTAAATATATTTATGTGAGAGTCCATGCAGTGCTGTGATTTCAGTCAGTATACATTTGCCTGATGATGGCCTTATGACGCTGAAACAGTTGCAACAAATAAACATAAAATGTAATTTGAATGACATTTATGAATTTTATATGTGATTGTAAATGACATTATGAAATAAAATATTGAGTTTGCATTATAGACAAGTGATTGAGTGTTATCATATGCAGTTTATGAGGAATATTATTGTATAAATGATAAAATTTCCTTTCTTCAGAGTGAATGTTGTGAGATATAAAAGATTCTGCTCTGTATTACTGGCCTTGGGAACAAGCAGAGAATGTTGTCAACTAGATGTGATAACAATTTCTGCCATCTGTCAGAGTTTATAGATAAGTACCAGTTTCTGTAGCTGAATTGAAAGTACCACAAAGAAAGCCAGCAAAATAATAACTGTAGGGTTAGTTTCAACTAAAATAACATGCTTTTTCATTATTCATTGCCTACCACTTCACACAGCCCTTTCATTCAACATTTGTCCTCTCCAGTGCCATATAGATCTTTTCCTTTTAGTGTTTGTTTTAAATCTATATTTCTGGATAATGATAATAAGGAGCTTCATAACTTGTAATATTTTCTGTACGTGAGTTGCAGTTCAGATATTTTGAAATTATGTCAGTTTTATACTCTGTAAGCAAAATGGAATGCCAAATTTCTGTGTTTCAGAACACTATATGAACTGTAATATGTATATATGAACATCTGATAACTTACACTATGCTTAGTGGTTACAAATCTGCTTCGCAGTTGGAGGTCCAAGTTTCATTTTCAGATGTAAGCTGGCATAACGTGTTCATGGTTTCACTCAGATTCTTCATGCTTTAAATACCTGTGTACTTGCTGTCAATGTCATTGCCGCCATCAGTATCTGTGTAGGAGTAAGCGTACTTTCCTGTCAGGCAACCCTCAGTATGTAATTGGTCAAGCCATCCTCTATTTGAATGTCTGGGATCTTCTTTCCCATTGGTTTATATGCAGTGGTTGCTTTGGTATTTAGTTTGTTTTCATAGTTACATACCGCTCTTCAGTTTCATAGGTATTTGGTGGAACATTTAATATATCTTTGTTTTCTTTTTCTTGTCGCGGGTTCAAATACCGATGAGGTCATTGGATTTTTTCAAATGACCTAATCCTTCTGGCCGCACTGTGGCCCTGGGGTTCACTCAGCCTCTAACAGAAATGAGTACCAGGAATTAAATAAATAATTTTCTTAGGGAGTAAAGCACGGCTGGCGCATAAGGCTGACAACCTTACCGCGATCTTTGCGCCAATTGTCTAGATAATGTGGGACCCTCAACATCTCACAACCTTATGGGCCTATTACAGGGATAGCTTTACTTACTTTTTTTACTTTACTTTTTTCTTTTTCTTGTATGTATTTTGATAATGGTCAGATTTGCAATACCCTGGCCTCAGAGGTGTATTTCAAAATTCTTTTGTTGTAATGCCCATTTTTGTTTTATACATTTCTAATTCATTTTAAAGCTTGAATTATCATTACAAAACTGTTACGTTATCCATTTATCTAGTATAAAGAGTGGTGGTCCATAAAGCATAGAATTTCTGAGCAGTTAATCAAAACCACTGGTTTGAGAAGTGAATACATTTGTTAACTATTCATGACAGAACAGTTCTGCACAAAACAAATATTTATTATTTAGTTCTATTTGTCTTGGACACACAGGGATGTCTGTCGTCTTGTTAGCAGCAACCATCTGCAAAGGCATGTAGTGAGTCCACAAGATGATATGGGAAGTGCAAACAAAAGCTGAAGCTGTGACTCTTGACTGACATATACCTGGAATCCATTGAAGAAATATATGGTCACGTGAATGGTGTAAAGTGTGTAGCTTGTAGAATATACGGTATATAGATTTTGTCTTTTCATACAGGGTTTGGAAAGCCAAACTATACCCATGAATGAAGAAAAACAAATAATATCATCACTTCTCATTTAAAATAATTTTATGTGTTATGATTTTTTTTTTTGTATTTAAAGATTTGAGAAATATTTGGACGTAAGAGAGAGGAAGTAATAAGAGGCTTGAGAAAACTGTGTAATGAGGAGCTTCATAATTTGTACTCTGTGGCAAACAGTAGGATGATCATGTAGAGGAAGGTGAAATGGTTGGAAAACCAAAAGGAATGAGACCTCATGGATTGGAGAGAAGAGAAGTTAATACAAAATTTTCATTGGAAATCTCCAAAGGAATGAGACTTCTTGGAGGACCTAGTCCTAGCTGGGATGTTAATATTAATTCAGATCATGAAGAACTGGAGTTGAGAGAGTGTGGGTTCAAATCATTTGGCCCAGAATAATAACCAGTTGTATGCAGTTGTGAACACAGTAATGGACCTTCAGATTCCATAAAATGCAGGGCATTTCTTGATCAACTGAATGACTCTTAGCTGCTCAAGAAGGATTCTCCACCATAGAGTTACAGATTTTAACCAGGTATCTGCTGAGTAACTTCCAAGGCTACTGTGTTATGTCACTCTTTCTTTAATAGACTGAGAGAACAAACTACTAAGACCAGTTGAATAAAGAATGCTTAATTAATTGAGATTTTAATCTGCAGAATGTGTAGTGCACATGGCTGAAAGAAATTATAATATTGTCACATATAGGAGTGACTATTAGGTGGTGTTGGGATTGGATGTTTGGATTTGTTACACTTGTACACTCAACTCATTACAAGTAATACAGCATTACCACTAATCTCCACACTTTACAGTTCACTGCTGCAAACACTAGTGTCCTCAGTCTAGTACAGTCTCCACTATCCGTTTTGTGGCAACAGATTTTAACACGGGAACTGTAACAGTCTCACTGAATCACACTTTAAATATCAGGGTACTACAGCACACATGCAGTCTTCTCTTCACAGCCAGACTTTCAACTCAACTGAACTGCACCCAGTAAACATGATGCCTCAATTTGATTCCATCTATCAAATTCTCTGCTCCAAAGCTCACATCCTGACAGGCTGGCATCTCTAAACTCAACTGCTTGTACGATCTTATTTGTCTCCTTTATAACCCCTCGACATGGACCTTGCAGAAAACACAGCTCTTCTACTGTTGCATATATTTGTTTCCATGGAAACATTTTTACTGTTTTTCCATGGCAGTGGCTGTACGTGTTACATCTTGTTTCATACAGTTCCATTATCGTTGCATGTGGGCATTACCCAGCAACAGCTGTTTCTCGGGCTCCACAGTTCTTGCTTTGAGCAAATATGCCACAATATTATGGTGCTTAAGGTTTGGCCACACAGAGCGCTGCATACACAATGCGCGCTACATATGCTATGTTCGCTATATGAACAGAAAAATATATCCCTTTATTGCCAATGTGACTGGCCCCACAGACTTCCATACGTTACATACGCTATGTTCCCTATGTTAGCTGCATCGCAGAGTGTACACAGCATACATAGCATATGTAGCGAACATAGCGTAGCGCTCTGTGTGGCTGAACCATTATTGACATAGGAGTGGTTGCTGTCCAGCTGTCCATAACCATTTGTGCTTCTGAGATATGTTCTTTGTTCACTCATTGCTTCTCAATATCACAGCACTCAACTACATTTGACTGCTGTACCCTGCATTGCACTGAAAACTGAAAAACTTGGCCGTCCGCTGCCTAGTCCCTTTTGTAGGCACATAACCCACAAGGAAGACCCTAGAACATTCACAAGTGACTCTCGTCTCTCTAGTAAGCCAGTCAGTTTCCCAGACATTTCAGGTGGATCAAGTGATGTGTGCACAGGCCAGGCATTGCAGCCCCTTCTGGTTTCTCAGTGGAGAAGGAAGTCTAGCTGTGTCAATAGTTTGAGAGTCATGAGCAGGCCAGGCAACACTCGATGTCTCACTGCATTCAGTTCCACTGACAGTATAAACTTTTATGACAGTAGAATATGAGTATGAGGATGCGAATTGGATACAGCTGTTTTAGGATACAATCTTTTGGTTGGTTTTTATGGTGACAGTATGAACATTTGGATTCCATAATGACAGGAAGTTCTTGAACAGGCAAATGACTTGGTTGATTGAGGAGTACAGTGTACCATGGGGAAAGTTAGTTTGTTAGTAATTAAAACAGTGACTGTTTTTATGTTGTTAATCTGTTTTTATCATTTTACAGATGACTTCTGTAAGTTTGGACCTCCAAGTTGTGAAAAAAATATAGTGTGCTAAGAAATTTGTCAGTCCTGATACTACTTGAAGGCAGTTGACAATGCAGGACATGGATGCAAGACATGGGATGTAAGTCATGCTCATGAGCGTAGAATCGTGCTTCCAACCAGTCGTGACATAGTATTACTCAGTTAAGCATTTTTAATCAAAATTTAGAGAGTAAGGATTCATGTTGTTTTCCATTGTGTACATATTGTAACATTGGCATTAAATATTCTTATGTTTTTTATTTTGCCTCCTGTACAGATTGGATATTACCAATGTTACGTGTTGTGTAATTAAAGACAAATGTATACACTGCTTGGCATTTGATTTCACGTTAGTAGGTACTCTATTAATTTATTAAATGGAAACATGCAAAATTCTTATCATTCCCAGAAGCAGTTTTTAACCTCTCTTTGTGTAGCTCTTTTTATTGTATTTGCCATATATGATATTTGATATCTCATGGAGGAGTCTAGCGTATATAATTGCACTATATCTTCCAGGCCCCAGTCCTTTATATCATCTCTGTTTCTTGTATTGACCACCCATTTTCAGCTGTTTCTGCCATTAAGACTGACAGAATATTTCACAGTGAAAGTGGTCATAGGTGTCTTCATAGCTGAAACTAAAATCTGTGCAGCTGTAAGGCAGAGAAGTAGATAAGATTAAATTGCATCTCACACAGAGAAAAACTGAGAATTATTGATGTTATTAAGGTTCCATGAGAAAATAGTTTACTCGTATATATCTGCACAGTATTGCCCAGTTTCTTCATTAATCCATGTTATATATTCATAGGATGAAACTTTATCCCGCATTCATTCTAAATGAGATGTCTGAAATGTTTGTTGCATTTCAGTTTTATAACTGTACAGTCAGATGTCTATATAGTAAAATCCAAAGTACTTAAATGTAAAGTTGTCCCTGTGCTTAGGTAATTAAGCACTAATCCCAAGAAGATGTATGGGGAACAGAAGTATAGCTCCACGATCCTTGACCTCAGTACTAGATGAAGGTGAGTGGTCATCTTCATGCTCCAGTCACTTCAATACTGGGAAAAGAGTCCCCGGTACCCATTGTGCAGGAGCCTGCGTGGGCACCGGAGTCGGTCTGGACGTTATGGAGAAGAGAAAAATCTCTTGCCCTTACAGGGGATTGAATCCTGGCCGTCCAACCCATAGCCTGTTGCAGTACCAACTGAGCAATCTGGTTCCTTCTGTATTTTACACGTAGTACTATTCTTTGGCAGTTTTTTATCGAGAATATGTTTTGTACATTAAATATTGAAGCCAGCCAATATTTTGTGCCAGGTTCTCAACTTATATTTGTGTATTTTGTTCTCTAATTATTCTAACTTCTGTGTTTTGTCTGAAAATGATTCAGAAAACTGGACTTATAATCAGAAATGGAGTAGTTAAAAGTCACCTCCAGTACTTTGGAATCAGACTTGACTGATGTAAATTAATGTGATCTGGGATGCTTCCTGTAGGAAATACTTTATCTCATGTTTCCATCATCTTGTGACAAGGCCCTAAATTTTCACTCAGCACAGTGTTTAATTTCCATGGATATAAATGGTTTTTATGTCTCTCCAAAGAATTGTGTTGTGCTTCAGTAGCAGCTCTCCATGATGGGAAAAGTGCTTTGTCTGTAGCAGGACTGGTTGGTTATTATTGACCTGAATTTTTACTAAGGCAATATTTTTTTATATTTTGTATGCACAAACTATATATAAATTATGTTTAGGAATTAATCAGTGTATGCATTTATTTATAAACATTGAGGTTCTTGATTGTTAATGTAAGCATTGATTGGTTGGCAGTGTGGACCATAATGATTGACAGCCTTTCATGGTTTGCATCTTATGACCTGCATTTGAATTTTTAATTACACATAAATCTTATAAGTTTCTGCAACATTCGTTGTCTTTCTGTTGTTCTCCAAACAGTAATTAATCTTTCCTATGCAGTTTATGAATGATATTGCATTTAACATTGTGTTAGTTTGTTTTTACTCTTGTTGGAAGTGAGGGTACTATAGTCAGAAAGTTGAATTCTTTCCAACTCTTTTTTTTTTTTTTTGCAGAATCCACTGAATCCTAGGTACAAATTTTGGTGATACGTATTTTTTTAATATGATTTTACATACCCACTTTTGAATTTATCCATTACATCCCTAGGTCTTTGGGCATATTCTTGATGACTGTAATTGTCATATGACTGACCATCATGATTTAAGATAATTAATACCTATATATTAGGAATTACAATAGCTACAGGCTGGATGACCTGGGTTCGATTCCCAGCAGTGCAGAACTTTTTCTCTTCTTCACAGCATCCAAACCGACTCTGGGGCCCACCCAGCTTCCAGTCCAGTGGGTACCAGGACTCATTCCCTGGGGGTAAAGCAGCAGGGCCATGATGCTGACCACTCACCTCCATCTGTTGCTGAAGTCAAGAATTTTGTTGCTGTATTTCCACTCCCCCACAGGTCTTCATGGCATAGTGCCTAACGAATGAAGCACCGAACTTTAAACTTTTAATACATATTTTCTGATTGTGATGCAGTAGCACTGGGAGGATAAAGAATTTCTCTTGTTTAAGACATGTGTGTCAGGTGAATCATGGAGGTACATAAGATGGTGTCTCTATTAACATTAATACCAGAATGGATGTGGAAGTATCATTTGTTGTCCTGTGTGTGTGATCTTAATATGTAAATTATCAATTGTAACTTTGTGGGTGAATAGGCATTGGGCTTACACAGTGCTCTGTTCTCTTCTTTCTTTTTTATAGCAGCATTTGCATGAAATGAAGTTAATGTGGTAGTGAGTTATCATTGGCGTGGATCTGCAAGGAATTTGTTTTTAGTTGAAATCCATTATTGAAGATATTTTGTGATAATGTGCTTTTTGTAAATTTAGGTGATGTAATATATATGTAAGGTCATCATAATAGCCTGTATCATTACTGTGCAGCATTACCAAAACTAGTTTTAAGAAGGCTATGAGTTTTCACTGTTTCCAGGTACTTTGCTGTGTGGCATTTATGGTTATGTTTCACCATCTAAGGTAGTGGTTACTTGAAAGGCCAAGAATGAATTGCACATTAGGAAAATAGGTTATTTGAACGTGGAATGTGTTAATGTGGCTCAGTGTTGTGCCCAGTGGGTTTAATTTCCAGCGTTCCAAAGTTGATCTTTTAATGCTGTGACAGGATTTAGTAACTGTAGACGGTGTTTTGATTGGTGATGGGATTTATTGGACTCTAACACAAAACTTGTGACTGCACTTTACAAATCACTTTCACACATAGACTAGTGTTTTCAGTCTGTTACAGTCTCCACTAGCTGTTGTTTGGCAGCGTCTTCCAACAGTGGACAATCCCCTTCCTCTGAGTTCCCGAACTGTCCCCGGCCTCAGCTCCAAATTCTCACAGCAACAGCTCACAGTGACTGAACCTCAGCAGTCCTCAAATTGACTGCTCAACTGACTCAGTTTGAATGCATTCTAAAATAAGACAAGCAGCACGACACACAACAGTAGAGAATACAGTCCACCAACCAAAACACACATGCTGTTGGGAATTGTGGACTCAGCGCGACATGATAACGCATGTGTTGAGTCCACGATTCCCAACATCCTCCCCACCCTGGTCAATCCAAAGGAAAGACCAGCTGCATTTATATATTAACAACAGAAGACAGCAGCAGTCTTTTAAAATGAATAAGTTCTATAGAATATGTAGTGTTGCACATGAGACTGTAAGAAACTAATTGACACTGATTTAAGACGTGTGTTTATAAAATGCAGAACAGTAAGATTAGCTGTGTATTGTGAAGCAACAAATCCCATACCTCAAACAATTGACAGTGTAAAACGTAATCACCTATATATAACCCAGCCACTGCAGTGACGAATGATCTGGTTGACAGGAGTTTGATTCCTGACAGGAACATGGGTTGTTTAGCCTCTTTTTCAAATAGAAACTGGGATCAGTGTTCTTGGTGGTCACATGGCTAGAATGTAAGCTGACCACTGACCTTCATCTGGTGCTGATGCTAGGAGTGCATGACACTGTACCTTCACTTCTCCTCCATCCTTTTCATGATGTAGTTCATATTAATTTAGTACATAATTTACTGGTAGATTGAGTACTGTAGGCAACATGTAAATTGAGTTCAGTTTTGGGTATTTAAGAGGAGAGGAGTAAAGTTTGTCGGGATTCTGTGTGCATGTGCTGTTCTGTTCTGCTACCTGAAACAGAAGCACGCAAGACCAACAATAATTCTTCTGGCTGTACTGAATCAGCTAGGCTCAGGGTCAGTATATCTTGTGGGTTCACGCGCTTCATACCTTACTGAGATGCCTTACACAGCAAAAAGCAGGAAATTCTCAGGAAAATTGACAAAGAGAGTACGATGTTCCATTCCGCCAACTCAGTATACCCCTCATTTCTCATCTGATGCTACTAGAATTTTTTTACTTGATGTAGCCTCGTCAAATAAATTATGGAACAGACAGTTCTGTAATTATGTTTCAGACTTTGATTTTAAAGTAGTTGCACTGTCATGACATTTGTTTGTTGCAAAGTGTGATACTCCCTGAGCAGTTAAAGAGTGTATGTAATTTGAAAGTTTATATTTTGTTTCAGGGGCTGGGGTGGCCAGCTGCCACAGCACAGTGGATAAGGAATTTGATCCTCCGGTGGAGATGATGGTGAATGATTTTGATGATGAAAGAACATTGGATGAAGAAGAAGCATTGGAAGGATCAGAAGACCCTCAAATTGAACTGTCTAATCTGCAGAGAGAAGGTGATATGCCATTAGAGGAGTTGTTAGCCATGTACGGATACGGAGACCCTTCAGCTGAGAATTTACAGTCAAGTAGTTCAGAGACATCAAATCAAGAGATGGCGCTTGAGAATGATGACATTGGTCGGGACATGTTGGATGAAGAGTGTGATGAGAAAAGTGGACAAACAGATTTGCAGCAGTTGTACATCAACCTGCCTGAGAAGGAAGCCGAAGAGAACGCTGGCACATCAAGGCTGCTCCGACTCTCACGGCCACAGAGTGAGGAAGAAGAGGAGGACTACGACTACAGTCCAGATGAGGAGGAGTGGAGAAAAACAATCATGGTAGGAAGTGATTATCAGGCAGGAATTCCTGAAGGTCTTTGTAAATATGATGATGCCCTGCCTTATGAAAATGAAGATAAGTTATTGTGGAACCCAAGTCCTCTGTCGGAAAAGGACGTGGAGGACTTTCTCGTGAAAGCGCAGGAACCACTTGTGAACAATGCCCAGGGGGTAAGTGCTATACCTACTGGGGCTCACACGAGAGATGATGAACAGGCCCTCTACTTGTTACTTCAGTGCGGTTATAATATTGAAGAAGCCTTAAGAAGGCGTCGTATGAATGTTGTGCCTCCAACTGACACCATGAGCCTGTGGTCTGAGGAAGAATGCAGAAATTTTGAGAATGGCCTTCGCAATTATGGTAAAGATTTTCACCTTATCCATCAAAACAAGGTGAGAACACGATCAGTTGGTGAGTTGGTTCAATTCTACTACCTATGGAAGAAAACAGAGAGGCATGACATATTCGCCAACAAGGCACGATTAGAGAAGAAGAAGTACACTCTACATCCAGGGATCACAGATTATATGGATAGGTTCCTAGAGGAGCAAGAAAGTGGGGCTGTTACTCATAGAGATAGGAGTTCTTCCCCTAACATCCATTGCCTTATTTATGGGGATCCGAAACGTCACAGAGTGCAAGATAATGCCACAGGAGAGACAGGGAATCACCCATCATCCATGTCCTATACTGGAGATCCACTAAGTGATTTGGCTAATCATCTGGATAAAGAGAGTTTAGAGTCACTAGTGAATTTGGCAGCAACCGCAGCAGGAGGAATAGAGAGTGGAAATGTGGAACCAAGGGGTGACTCTGAGGATGGTAGCTCAGCGTCAGGTGCCGCCACTAACACACAGTCAGGTAGTTCCACCTTGAACAGCGTGGAGATGGCATTCTCCAGTACAACTGTCACTGCTCCTTCCAGTATGCTTACATCCTCAGACACTTCGGCCCATGCCGCAGAGTCTGTTGCACAGTAACAGGTGCACTTTTTTAAGATGCAATAATTTGAGTGTGGTGTGCAACGAGAATTTCAGTTCCTTATTTCTTCACCTCTGGAATGGGGTGCATGCATATTTTCACCATTAATAAATCCGGTATAAATAGAAGACTACAGAAAGGTTTAATTTTTTACGCCATATCATAGTGAAGCCCGTGGTATTAAATGTGCAAGTGGCTGCGAAAGGATTGATAATAATAGTTCTCATCATTTGATTTCCTTGCAAGAAGTAAGAGTGTTTGCTAACATAGCAGTCTGAACTAAACCGAGGCTGCAAGCCAAAACAGGTGTTAAAATTGTGTTTATTGACTGCAGTGGATTATCGTGACGATGAAGCTGAGGTGGAGAAGTGGAAAAGAACAATGGGAGTTATGAACTGAAGTATCATATCATACAAGATTGTACTGCAGAATATATATGTCACTTTGATAAAACAGTATTTTTATTTAAATGAAAATTGCTACAAATCAGAAGCAATTACATGTGTAGTAGTGCATATTGTTCTAAAAAATATTTTATAATAATATTTTTTAAGTCAAAGAGTTTTCAAAATAGGTGTGAGAAAGGTAACATTGGTTCTTTGGCTTTTTCTTAATTTTGTTGCTTATAAACTTGTATAGATAACACAGCTTGCCCCATGTGTAATATAATTTGATTTTACAGAAATTTGGGCAGTATTTTGATCTTAATACGTCCTCAGGGCACATCTGAATATTTAAGATATCTTCTGTGTAACATTTGGTTTTGTCTCTTATTATAGTTCTTGGTGAATTAAGAGAACCTTCCTTCAGTAATTTCAAGTGAAATTGTGTCTAATAACTGGAAATACTGTGTTCTTAAATAATTTCTTGCAACATTAAATTTCTTATTTGTGCAAAACTTATTTCATTCCAATAATGTGAGGTAATTCAGTGCTTTTATACCAATTCTTATTGGTAACCCACCTTTCCAGGGAATAGAAGTTGACTAATTAATGCTTGCAACCTCTTTGTTGGGCATAATAAGCTTAGTTATATGTACTTACATTTTGAAGGAACATACAGCTTTCATCTTCAGGGTTGAAGTTTGTAGGTTCAGGAACACACCCCTGCCCCCCATCAGGTAATTAATGATGCTTTCGGTATTGAAACTTATAGCATTGAATGGTAAGATGGTAGGTGAGTAAGGAACTGGAAAGGGGTTTGTTAGTCATGACATTAATGAGGAAATATCTGTGCTCAGAAAGCCTGAGGAGAAGCCCAAAGCAGCCAGGGTAGCTGGTGTCCCAGCTGAGATTCAAACTGTGCACTTCCCACATACAAGTCTATAGAGTAACCTCAAGACCAGCCTGTTAGTGATTTGGCTCTAAAGGCAAGTTACAAGGAGGGTGGTCAAGTAATGCAAGAAATGTAAAGAAGAAGGAAATCTGGCCCTAGTGAAAGAATGGCCCATACCAGGGATCCATTGTGCTTTTAGGAGAAAAGTAGAGTTGTGTGAAGAGTACAGAAATGATATGACAAAGGAAGACTGGCTCTTTATCGTCATGGAAGCCTCGTATTCATTTCCTGAAGGAAAGGAAAGAGTTCCTCTTCAAGCATGAACCAGTTTCTTTCTGCTGAATGACACTGCTATACCTGGTTCCCCTATGGGAGAGAAAAGCTGTTTCCTGACTTCCCACTTCTCATTTTCCCAAGCCCTGAAAATATTTTTCCCCCTATTCTCAAGTGTAGATTTCTGCCTGTGAGGAAAACTTCTAGTAGACTTGAATAGGTCTGTTTTTTATACATTCTTTGTGCATCTTCACGTTCCTCAGAAAACAGCATTGGATCCCTGGTAAGATCTGTTCTCTCTTTATTCTGTTCCCCTCTTTGATGGTAAACCGGTGTGCCCCATGTAAGGGGTTTTTATTTTGTCCATTTCATCCCATTATCTAGGACAATTTTATTGTTTTACGCCCTCTCCTTGTAATCCGGTTGCGTGACAGCCTACTCCTGAACATACACACTTTATTCCTGTTAGTGGAGGCCACTTGCTCCTTTGAGGTTCCAGGATCTGCCCACAGAACTACATGTTACAACCCAGACAACAACCTGAAGCTTAAGTATTTTATGATTTTATAACATCCTTCTTTCATCCCTCACCTAGGTCACTGCTGCAGTTCATATTTCATATTACATAATAGGGCTTCTCTGTTGTTCACAGTTTCAGTCTTGACGAGTAACCTATTGTAAGAACGAAAGAGAAGTCCTGCCTTATGGGAGCTCCCAGCTAAAATGTGGATTCCTTTTTGCACTTTTGCCAGTTGAAAAGAGATCATTACGAGTATGGTTATACAGAAACAGTGTTTAAATATAATTTATTGATAGAATATCTTTAAATACCTTAAATTTACAACTTTATTTAATATGTACATAACTCTTCAAGGGGCACGCAGTGGTGTAGTTGGTTGAGGCACTATGCTACAAGCCAGAAGATTGTGGGTTTGAATCCCAATGAGGTGGATTTTTTCAATCGCCCTGATCCTCCCAGCCACACTATGACCCTGGGGTCGACTCAGCCTCTAACAGAAATGAGTACCAGGAATATTCCTGGGGGTTAAACGATGGCCGGTGCACAAGGCTGACAACCTTACCACCATCTGTGAGCCGATTGTCTAGAGAAAATGTGGGAGCCTCAATGTCTCACAACCCTATGGGCCTTTAAAGCCTGTTATATGCATAGCTTTACCTTTTTTTTTTATAGCTTTTACATAACGAATCTTCAGAATTTATCTCACACTGAAGAATTTGCTCTAAATGAATATCTAGAATGGTGCTGTCACAGTTGTGTTCAGTGATCCCCTTTACCCAGACTGGACTCCATCTCCACTGGAGTGGCCACCTTCCATACACTATGCCTATATAACGTGACTGCATCCTCAATCTGTTCTCATGCACCCTGAAAGATGAAAGAATGTTCTTCATAAACACTGATGTTCGCTTACAATACTGTACAGTATCACCATGTTCAGGACCACAATCCAAACACTCACTGCCAAGGAAACCTGAAGACTTTCAGCCAGACATGGTTCTAAGTAACTGTTTCCATCCCGTATAATTTACGCTTCATCACCACCATATTCTCACAATACTACACTCTGAAACCAAATCTGTGTATAATAATATTGAGTGAACCTCTGATTTGGAGGTTAGTTTCACCATCTTCAGGATATGTATTGTCTGTACTTGGCAGTCACTCCATGTTCATGCTGCTGATGAAAGCAGAGCTAATCTCTGAAATACCATATTTTTACTCTTCAATGATGGAGCCAATTGCTTGAGAGGGTGTTTTCACAGACTTGAGCTCTTTGAACACTTGCAGGCTTCAGAACTTGTGGCTAGCTTTCAATTACTTAATAAAAGCTATGTTCAGTTGTATTGCTCTGTGATTGATAAATTATACACATTTTTAAATGTTGATGAAACTAAATGCTGTATTTTCATTAACATGATGGAACACAGAAATGGGATAGGACCATACATAAATGTGCATTGATATGAAAGTGGCTGTAGTGTGGTGCAATATATATATTGTCTTTTCACATAGACTCCATTTTGAATGAATGTAGGTACAATTTGGATGCAGAGCTTGTATGTCAGACCTTGGAGTACTGTTGCCTGTCATAATGTTATTTTGTAAACTCTTTGATGAAATAATTGCCCTGTATGTATATAGTAGATAGGGGGATGGGCTTGATAATTAAATTATGTATCAGTTTTCAGATTTGAAGAATTCTAGGAAGCTTTGTCCAAAATGATGTTTCATTGAATTACATTTGTGAAGTGTACGGGAGAAAGGTATTAAGACAGTTTTAACAATCATAAAATTTGTCCAAATAAGAGATTTATTTTTTTTAATATAGAAAAGAGTGACCCAGATGGATTAGCATCTTAGTAAAGATTGTATAGTAAAAGGGAGAAAGAATTTTTATATACTAAATAGATATGAAGCAAGTTATATATCTGCATGTCTAGTGTATTGGCTCTCTATACTTTAATCTATATTTTGTAAAATGCTTTGTAGTGATTATATTTAAATAGTAAAAGATCATAATATACTTCAGACTTTAAAACATTATCAGAATAATACATAAGTAACTGGAGTGGTTTTTTTCTGTGGTTCCATAGGTCTGTGACATTAGTTAAGTACTGGTATGAGTGTATTTTCTTTAAACACTGTCCCTTGTGTGAATCATGTACCATACTACCTAGTGTTACATCTCAAATGACTACCGTCTTTGATTAAAATATCAGTAGATCAACAAAGGCATGTGGTACCTTTTCAATTTTCATTCTGGTTGTTTGGGAAGAGCTGCTTACAGACATGATTAAACTGACTGCTTTCAAAAATCTTTTTTAAAACACACACAAAAAAACAATAAAACCACCAGTAGGATGTAAGGAGCAAAAAATCAACATGGACAATGACGGGACTAAATAAGTTACAAGGAATGAAAAAAATAAGTAAGGGCTCTCTGATGACTTGAGGTTGTTATGTGTAGCTGGCTCTGAATGTATGTTTCACCTTAGATTTCATCATTATGCACCGGCTTCAACCTACAAAATGCTTGAAATCCTTCTATCGTACCCCTTGTAGATGGAACCCAGTTTGGTACACTGCAGTTTTCTGAGTTGTCCTCATATAGCTGCTGCCACAAAATTTCATAACCAGTAATCTCTTAGTGTTTTGATACCTGATTCTTTGCTTTTTTTGGTTATCCTTTTGATTTGTAGATATAATATTCAATAATTTAAAAATATATTGAGGATCAGTACTTCTCAGAAATGTTTTTTTTTTTATTTAAGAGTGAAACATAATGTCTTGAAATATTTTATGTACTCAATCGATATTTCACATACTTTTAATAATGTTCTGATCCTTTATTAATAGTATGAAGTGATATTATTCAGGTTGCTTGTAAGCCAATGAAAGCAGATAGTTCATTATATTTAATTAAGAAAATTCAGCAGTCTGGTACAAAGTTTATGGAAAGCTTCTTTACTTGAATTGGCATCATTAGCACTCTGTTAAATTAATTTTGTGTTATATGGACACTTGCAGTGTGATAAACTTACTTTCTGTTTTGTGTGTGATCGTGGTTCATTTTTAAAACACTGCTGTGGCTGTTGTAGATGTAAATTACTATTCATACATGCTTAAACATGATTAACATTATACTACTTGGACAGCTGCTGCTTTACCTTGCAGCCAAAAGTTTATTTCAAAATGTATTACAAATATTGCAGTTATATCAAGATATATCTGATGGATATGTGTTGCTATAATGTTGGTACATCTACCTCCCACATCAGTGAAACATATGAAATGCAATTTAAAACGTATTTGAGAGTATGTCGTTCCTTGAGCACGCATCCATCTGGAAGAGAACTCCTGTGTGGTCAGCAAGTTCTCTGACATGACAGGTTTATATTCCCATCCTATGTTGAGAATGGAATCTACTAATTTTCTGATAATGGCATAATGATATATCACTAACTGATAATGATGTATCCTCTAAGATGTTTTACACACAGAATAACATTTTGTACTATGGTTTCCAGATAAGATGCCAGGTTTTTCAGTGAATCCTAGGTTCATTGCCTGTTCTGTTGGCAGTTTTTCAGAACACAGATTGAAATTTTATCTCTGCAGAAAGCTAGGTTTTAGTAACAGAAATTCTCAGGTCTGTGCTGTTTTCTTGGAATTTGTATTACACACTGGGTCCCCCCACCCATCATTATGTTCACTGTTGCTTGTGAGGAATCAAGCTTTATTGGCCTCCCAAGAGGTGTATGCCACAGGTTGAAGTCAAAGAGTTCTCAAAAGGGTTTTGATAGCAGTTGATTCATTACACTGCAGTTATGTTGGCCATTGTACATTAGAGAAAGGACAATGTCCAGTATAATTAAATGTGAGTTAAAATTAAGTAGCTATTCCAAAATATGAAATGTGGCAGCAAATTTGGGTCCAAATCTCCATGTCGTTTAAGATATTGCAGGACTTCTGTGTTTAAGGTGGATAACAACAAACTTGCAGTAATGTTAGTTGCTGTTGTATAATGATGTTAATACAGTGAAGTGTAAAACAAACTGAACCCTATACCATACCATTTAAATATGATCCTGCCACTGTCACACAAGGTCACTTAAAACCCTTTCTTATGACATGTTTTATTATGTTATGTGCAGCAGGGGATATTTAATTTTACTCAGACCTGTGTTCATTTTGAAATCCTCATGGTAGTGCATATGATGGGTGGGTTTTAATGTCATGTAGTTTGGAGAGAGGTGGACATTTTTGGGGAACATGTTATCTCCAAGAGGGTTAAAAGGGTAAGCAAAGCAAGAAACCAGCATTAATAGACAGCGTGTTCCTCTGAAATATCTCAAAAATGTACAGCATTACAACCCAGAAGTCAATATTCCTCATGTTCATTGGAGTTAGGCATGTAGTGCGATTTCATAGCGAGCTGTGCTACTCAGATGAAGTGGTTATACTAACATTTAATTCAACTCTGTAAAACATTTTATCTATGATGGCAAAAAATATGAATGTAATTCAGTTGCGTTTCCTGCATATTGAACTTGTACTGCAAGGGTTAAAGTACCCTTGTGATATAAAATAATATAGAATTTAGGACATTCTTGTGGGCTGATCTACTACTACTGTGTAAATTAATATGCTACTAAAACTCTAGATTCATAATATATGTATTATTTGTTTGTAATTAATTTGCTAGAGGAGGTACTATGTATTATGAATTCAAACAGATATGGATTTTAATAGCATTTATTTACATATATTACTGCAGAACAGTTTAAAATGAACAAAGAAAGTTTACATAGTTTACAGTTTATCATAAAGTGGTCCAAAAATTATACTTGAAGTCCACTTTAATATTAGACAATCATTATCCCAAGCAAGAACACTTAATGCAAAGAAAATGTAAATAACATCAAAACTATGATTTTATATGCTGCTTCTCTGTTCAGATTTAGCTAACAGTGTATTTAATTCTTGCAAAGTTCGTGTTGTCCAGTTTTGTAAGTTTTGCAGTTGGAGATGTTTCATAATTAAAGTAAAAATATTAACCTTTTGCTCATTCTGTTCAAAATAATAGTTGTGCTGCCAGCTCAGTTTTTTCCAGGTATTTAAATTTTAAATAGGACCTCCCTTATGTTTTACTGTGTTAGAAGGGCTGGAGCCACTTGAATTTCACAATATTCTGCTATACTAATAGAAGCGACATGTTTAATGGTTTTGGCATGTAGCATATGAAAGGGGAAAAAAGTAGTGTGGAAAGAGGCCACCTAACCATAATTTGAAGATGTAAAAGAGGAAGTGGTGCAAATTCCAGTAAACTGATCAAAATATGGTCCATAGTCATGACAGTATTAATCGTTTGAGTTCCAAAAAAATACCAGATAGTAATTATATGACAATATTTTTTAGTGTATGATCAAATT